AACAATGCCTGAACAATGTTGTTATCATGGTTGAACAACGTTGTTCAAGCAACAATCGTTAACAACATTGTTCCAACAACTTGTTCACGCTTGATGAACGAACAACATGATGGAAGCAACATGATAGATGGAACGCGGTTGTCCGCAATAATGCTACCAAGTTCGGTTCGCTTAGGGCCTACATTGGAATAGTACTTAGTAATTTTAGAGTAACACCAGTTTCTTACCAAGTTGCTGCTTCTTCATTCAAGGCTCCCCCTGTGTTCATGGAATAGAAACAACTTTTCACATATTTTAGCATATCACTAAAATGCAATGAAAAGTATCATGAAGTCAATAGTTTAAACCCTCCCTACTCCTCTCCTACCAAAAAAAGTATAAGACCCACAAAATATAACAATTTCCTACCCTATATGATTTTCGTTATTCCAACAAGGGAACGCTTGTTCAATGTTTAATATCCTTAAAAACAGAACATGGCATTGATATTGTGTATAAAGTTACCTTATTGTCCCTTTGTTTTGTGAAAACACGTATATTTATTATTGCAACGCTTTCGATCCGTAAGGCAGGATCTTCATCATTGCTAATAATATACAGTGTGACTTGTGTAACTAATTCCACACATCCTTTTCTACACTAAAACTGTAAAAGTGTCCCTTTACATGTACGTATAATATACTAAATTTACCTTCAAACTTCTTCAAACCTTAACATTCAAATGAGTTAAAGTTTTTCTTACCCATTCTTATGGATCTGTGGATGAAAGATATGACTTGTGAAGCGGATTAATGGAGCAGCATTTGGAAAACTATGAATTGAAGAATTAAAATCATTTGTCGATCCGTGGGACGGTTGAATTATACTAGTATCATTACATTGCGTAGAATTCCCAGTGTAGGGCGGTAAACGTTGGTGGGTGGGTGGGTTAGTTGACTGTTCTTTTGTGGTTTGCGGGTTCGGTGCACCCTTGATGTAAGTCTTCGGTGAAACAATTTCTTTTGCGGGCGGTTGTAAGCTTGTGTATGTTGTTACGCAGTTATACCTAATTAATCAAGTTCCGTTATTGTCGGAGAGGTACGCAACGAACAAGTGAACGAAATTAAAGGTGCGCAAAATTAAAGGTGCGCAAAATTAAAGGTGCGCAAAATTAAAGGCGCACAAAAATCAAAAAGGCACAAATATGAAAATGCAAAAGAAACCTATCCTGTTGTTTTGTTAGTTCTTGCTGTGACGAAAAAATCCAATTGGAATTTTGGAATGGTAATAATTGGAATTCGGGTGAATTTCCAATTGAAATTCCTACTGGAATTCCAATTACCAGTTGGATTTTATTAATTAAGGGTGCAGCTAGTAACAATATTTTAACAATGCCAACCATTAACTGATATTTTGAAAAATGCATAGTTTATATTTACATACTTGTCTTGAAATAAAATATCAAATCGGAATATTCCTTCACGAAAAGGACCAGCTCTTAAACATATTATACCATGCCATACTACAAAACAAGTAGAAATTAAATTAAAACTAATCTTTGTTGCTATCTGCTACTGGAAATAGGTGGCAAGCATTAGCACAAATCTCTTTTTACATAACATTCAGCACAGATAAATGAAAAACTTGACAAACAGATTGAGGAATGCTATTATGTCAGATGTAAGAGCACTCCTCTACAAGCACCCTAACATGACTTGAAATCCTTTTCCTTAGTAGTAGCCTTGAGGGTCTCCAATTGCTTGACTAGTTGAAGTTGTTTTTTTTGAGGAGGGTGAGAAGGGGTGTAATCAAAAGCTCATCAATCTTGAACATTTGGGGTTGGACTAATCCATTGATTGCTTGAAACCTGGTTGCTAATTTGGGTGTAGTTTCCTATATGCCAGTACATAGCGGTGTGCGCCAGTGCTCGACAAGTTACAGTTTTACTCTGTCTGACAAAACATCACAAGAGACAATTTTATTTGTCAAGAAGATATTAATGGCCTATAATGAATATATAATTTAGAACATATTTGTACCTTGAAGGGTCTTTATTGATGGTATTACATAAACTCCTCCTGGAGGATTTTTACACAGGTATTTGCTGAAAAAATAACATATGAAATATTGCTAATTAGCAAGTTTATTTTTACCAAATTTTTCATTCTGTCCATGTCCCTAGGAAAGGGAGGTGAAGTGGAGCCCTGTGAAGCTTGTATATCAGAGATGCATCAAAAGTAGCAATCTATTCCAGAATATAGAGCTAGCCAATAGCTTGGGCCAATGGATGTAAATTATAGTAAATTATTATATCGATGCATTCCTAGAATTGACACCCACCTTGCAGGCTTTGATACCCTGGAAATTAACTGGTTAAGTTGCATTGCACCCTAATGTGCCCTACGTTATCATTTTACTCAGTCTAACGCTAGACAATTTTACTTGTCAAGGGAAGAGTACTGGTGGTCAATGGGTTAAAACAGCTATGACGCCCTTTTGGCTTGCACCATCATTGGAAGATCCTGTATCAAACAGATTTATGGAAGTTATGGTCACATAGTGATTAATTTGAAATTATAGCCTGCAATGCAGGCTCTTCGTGTAGGCAGGCTCTTCAGGGCCAGGCAATTAAATTAATATCACACAAATATTTGCTTCCATTCATTCAAGTTAATAAGTATAAAATTGATAAATATTACAAACACATTACAATATAAAGGGAAATTTATCCTGTGTCAATACAATAGCATGTAAAATCGTTAAGTCAACTGCAGTATAATAGGATACACTTACAATTCCATTAATATATCGTGTTCTTTGAAGTAACTCGAAAAATCTTCATAAACCACATTTTGTACTAAATTTTGATTTTCATTGTCACCTAAATTAACCTCATAGCTTGCTGAGCGTTTCATTGCTTTGCCAGGATGTCCAAATAACTTTTTAGTCTCCCTCTTGATTTTACTACTTAACCCAAAAACCCTTGCTGGTTTGTTTGGCGATGAATCACGCGGCGATTGAATGTCCGCACTTTCCGATTCATTGTGATTATTGAAAATATCCTTTTCATCTTTTGAATTTAATTGCGCTTGAATATCTTCCGTCGATGGCATCATTTAAATATTTACTTATTCTTTTGTAAATAGCCCTAAGGATGTATATTATTTCTTGAAAGCGCATGAATTTATAATTTCATTTCTATCGTCAATGATCCGTGAACGTTGTTTTCATATTTGTCTTGTCATATCCGTAGTCAAATATTTGCGAAGTATTTACCCTTTAATCGAAATTCTCTACAGTAATATTTGGAGTTAATCATCAACCACGTAGATCAAATTACCAGTCAGACCAAATCGGTCGCCTTTGATACAAGGTGTAGTCGAAGTTAATCAAATTTCAGAAATAAATTTGTCATTTTCTAAGCTTTGACTTGTGTTTGAGTATAATAAATAATTGATTAGCCATTGTCACTTTATCATTGCACAAATTTGGTAATTTCTTGTACAATATTTCTCCTGTCACAATTCTGTTACGTTTTTCTTCTATTTTTCCATAACATATGTAGCATTTTTATTCTAATAGTTTAGAGTTGCAAATATAAACATCGATTATCTTTAGTGAAATTCTATAGTTGAACAGGATGGTTGTAAATTAGCATAACATAACATGTGGGTCCTGTAATAAAAACAATATATTACAATAATAAACTAATAAAGTGATATTTGGAGTTATTATGTTTTAAATTTATTTTTTGAATAATTCTTGGATTTCTTGCCAAGAAAAAGAACGAAAAAGAACAATAAATAAAAATAAAACGCAAGCAGACACTAGTGCCAATCTTCTAGCAAATACTCGATTGCTCGGTATCCAATATGGCGACCGCTGTGGACGAAACTGCAGCAAATGCTGCTTTAACAAAAACATTTGACAGTAAAGCCACAGCCGATCTTGAGAAAGTGACTGATTATGAAGAAGATAAGGAAATAAGCCCAGTCAATATTGGAAATGTATGTCTCATACAGGAGTAAAGATAGTGTAATATAATTTATTATATAATATTTTGGCTGCATGTGTACAGTATGTTGCCCAGTTTCCGGACAGACAATTTTTCACAGACAACTAGCGATAACATGTAAAATGATACATTCAGAAGATTGCCATACATGTCATGAATTGTGTTTAACATATTTGTAGCAACTTCAGTTGTAAAATACAACACTTAAGTGACTAATAAAGCCTTCTGACTTTATCTGACGACTGACATATCATTCTATAAACATTCTTGCTTATTAAACCCTTTAAGTGGCAATGTGCCCTAATGCTAGACGCTTTTACTCGTCAAGGGGAAAGTGCTGCTACTCAGTGGGTTAAAACTCCACTAATAATTAAATTGATTAATAGGCAATCTCATTTGTTGATGATACATATTCAAAAGAAAAATCTGTAAAGACTGAACGGTAAATACTTTGAAACTTTTTTAAGAATACAAACCTTTTAAAATTTCTGCTTACTCTTTCTGTATGTTATTGTTTAAGTGGGTGGTAATTTTTTAGAGAAACAGCAAAGAGGAGAATAATTAGGGGAAGATAAAAACATTTTTTTGTATATTTATAGAGAAAAGGAATTATCAAAAGTTGTAATTAAGAAAGAACATGTTGATTTGATAGTAAGTGTCTTAAAAATTAACCATGTGATTTGGTAACAGAGAAAAGTGGAAATAGTTTTTAATTATTGTGAAATGGAAGTTGACTTTCAGATTAAAACTACTCAATTTGCCATCTTGGCTTGCTCTTCATTTAGTTGAGCACATAATTATATACAGATCAGTTCTTGAGCCACAATATTTCATAGAACAATGCCACCAGGGCTTGAAATTTGAAATTTTTAGCGCTATGATGCTAGTAACTTGAAACCAAATGCTGAAACAATGAAGGCAAAACAAGCTTTCAATTGCCAACAAACAGAGCCACTGGGAAAAGAGTATGCAAAATCTGCAAACACAAACACAAACATGGTGAATAGTAACACATGTGACAAAATATAAATAAAAAATCTGTTTTTGTTTATTACCCCAGTGGATACTGCATTTGTAAGGTTGGTATCCAAATTTTAAATCTGGTATCCTGAAAATTTTAACCATTTTACCAGATGCGGGAGATGGAGATCTCAAAGTCTGCAGCAGAATGGAGTCTAAGGAGTCATGGTGGAGATGTAGTGAAAGCATTAATTTCATTGACAAATTAAGTACAAACATAAAGATTGTTTTCTATGTGAGCAAAAGCCACACCAGCAATTATTTGACAGCTTGGGATGTTTGCCTATTTGAAAAGTTGCATGTTGTGTTATAAACACATTTTTTCATCTCCTCCCAAATGCTGCATTCAATTTACAATACTAATTATACACCTTGGTATGAGGCTGGGGATTTGTAGACAGGAATAACAGGCTGGGTATAGTGATGCATGTTGGAATTGTTACACAGGACAAAGCACCAATAATTCAATAGGTTGTCCTTTGTAATAACCCTACAATGCAGCAATTGCAATTTCCAGTCTTGTGTACTCTTTTCAAAAATAGCAACTTGTTTAACAGTGAATCAGTTTTTGTTAATGTTGGGATCATTCTTGTGCCCCACTTCTACAAAATGGAAACAAAAACTACATTGTAATTTTTCTTAGAAATTTAAAATTCCAATGTATGATATAAAGATAAATTTTGAGTAACTTGCATAAACCATGCATGGCATGAACACAAATTGCATCAACATAATAAGAATTGGATTGGAAGTTTCGTCTTTGTTTAGAATTAGAACGAAGGAATTTTCCAGGAAGTAATTTCTTGAACACGACTTCGTTGCATGCTCCTCGCGTTTATACGAAGTCTAACCCATTGATAAAAGAAAACTTTAACTTTTATATATTAATGTTTAATCTGGGTTGCACCAGTCAATGGCCAATTTAAGAGAGCTTGAAAAAGTCACTATCTGGTGGAAAGCATTATATCCAGCTTTCGTACAGCCGACCGCTGGTGTACGAAGCAAGCAAGGTAAAAAATTAGATAGCTTTAATTTAAAGGCCTTTCGAATTTTTCACTTTACAATTTAAAAACATTTTTGTGATGTGAACTCAAACTGAGAATGGAATGAACCATAATTAAAAGATGTGTTAAAAAATTAAAATTTTGCCTGTCATCAGTTGGATGAAAGAATACCACCTTGGCCCTTGGATGAAGCGCGAACCAGCGCATTTCATCAGATCACGTGATCAGATAAGTTGTTGTGACTGCACATCATTTGAGCCACAGTTTAAAGTACAGACACACTGGACGCGATTCGACAACGCGACGCAAATTTTCAGTTTTTGAAAGTATATAAAACCTATGAAAGGACATTTGTAAATAGATGTAGACCAAGTGACTTCAAATGTTACAGCGCTTCTAGATATTTGAAAAGATAACGGTTGGATATCTTACAACATTTTAAGACCAAAAATATAATCTAGATAAATAATATAACTTGTTGTGACCCACATTGAAGTCCAATCTGGCAACTCTACCGTCCAAGCAAACTCTGAAATACCGGTCGGAAATCATACAGTTCATTTCCGACCAAATGCTCAATCTATAGATCAATATATTACTAAATTCGCTGCGACCTAAAGGCCAAACAGGGGCAGTGCTGGTGGCTTGAACATTTACATCCAATGTAGGAATGAGTGTAGCCAGTAGGGAGTGTACTCAGTGATACAAACAATTAAATTCTGAATAACAGTCGGAAATCTGACATTTTAGGTAGCAAAGCTAGTTTTTTTTCCGAGCCATTGCTTATTCTAGATATATATATTTCATGTGACCCTGAAGACTAGGGTTCAGACCGTTCAATAATATGAAGCTTTAATCGAACTCGCGAAATTTACAATGCTAAATGAGAACGAAACAAAACACATTACAACAAAGGCCAGTTAGATATGGGATCTGCGAACGGACTCGAACTCCCAACAAAGCAAACCCCGCACATAAATTATAACTAGAAGTTTACACTATTAAGAAAACACAAAACTTCAATAAAAGTTCTCTAATACCACTGAACAGACAGCCCAGTCTCTCGTTCAGGTTGACTGCACATACCAACGGCCACTTGAAACAAATAATTGATGGAAATGATTTCGGGAAATAATCTTAACCCATGCGCTATAGTACTAACCCTAATTCTGGTTTTAAGATAAGGATGCATATTGTACAGTCAATCTGAGGAAGAGACCGGGATGGTACAGTGTAGCATTCTCCTCAATAACACACCTTCGCTGCTTATTAACTAACAACAGGAAGAACTGTCAATAGACCTACAAGAGTAGGAAGTACTCTGATTCAGATTGTTTTGTGAATTACAGGCTCTAGTGTGTTCCTGTTGCATTCAGTCTCTTCCGTTGTTACACCGGATGAGATATACCTTTCAACATATGATTTATTAGAAACACTCTGGTGTTGATAGTTTCTGTATAGATAACAATATCCTGTTTCCAGTTACGCAAACACTTAACATTTCGTTTATAAATAACTTTGAATGTGATGTCATCGTGATGATTTCAATAAAATGCAACAGGGAGGGATGGAAAATTCATTGTTTTGCGCGAGGTTTGAACTCGCATAAAAGGATTCGGCCATTTGGGGTCGTCACCCTCTAGAACAATTTACCATGGACTGCATCACTCACGACTTGCTGCACGACATATACTATGACGTCATATGCTCATTATATATCGCATCCGGTGCAGCCCTGATCATCCTGGTCTTCTGGTATATAAATGCCATAAGCAGATATCACAGTGCAGATACTCGCCAAGTTGACCAGTACATTGAGTGGGACTACCAAGTTTATCGTCGAGTTTTGAGCACTATGTCTATGAAGGCAGCGATCACTATCCTCCTTTTTTACCATGCAATGCAAGTCGTTTCATCGGCGTTTGATCTCTATGGCTCAATGGACGACGCAAGAAGCGCAATTATGTCATTTTATGACCCAACTCATGTCGAACCTGAAGCTAAGCCGGTCAAGCCAGGCTCAATCAAAGTTAAATCGAAACGGCCGACATTTGTGATATCGACAAGAAAGATACGTCTGTAAGTATCATTCCCATGTCGGGAAGACCGGGAAGACCGGGAAGTAAGAAAACCTTTAGACTGAACAAAAAAACGTCCATTAAACGGATGGGAATTCGTCCTAAATACAGATTTGTATACAGACTACGAAAACCTGTTCTCATATTGAAACCTTTGCGTACCGTCAGACCATTTCCTAGACCCCAACCAACTCGAGCAATCAATAAATCAAAGCCTGTAACCACGAGACGCGTCTCGTTGAACAAGTTTGTCGAAGCGATCGAAGACATCGAGAAAGCGTTGGCAGATGCGCAGATTGTCGGCCGTGTGAAGCACGACGAACAGCGATTACGCAAACTTCGAGATCTTATTAAAACTGCTGTTCAAAAGAGAAGTTATCGTTTCGCGCGTAAGGCCATTGGCGAAGCAATGTTCACGATCAGGAAAATAAACGAGAAAAGGTATTAAAATAATTAAAGATTAAATTTTGCGGGGGTTCCCGATTTTAGAATTTGGTTTATGAGCTAAACCAACCTTTAATACATGAACATGAATGGTGCACTACCTTAACTAGGATTGTAAAAAAGACAATTCAGGGAATTTCTTTTCTTTAGGAGGGGGGCATAACCTCATCTATGACATAAAAGTATACCAAATCTGTGGCTTTCAGATTATCATAAATCGCGTCTAAAATGCATCAAGTGGTTGGGCATGCCCCCAGACAGACGATTAGACCCCTCCCCCTGACTAGTTTGGGGGATGGTTACCCCCCTCGTAAAAAATAGGAGGGGGCGCTAGACTCCTCTCTCCCTTCTCCGGCGTCCCTGAAATAGTTATTTGCTAGGCAACTATAAGGAGTATTTTGATTCCAGTATGAAGAGTAAATAAGACATCATACAGTACGTATTCCACTTCGTAATAGAGTCGAAGTCTTGTTTTAATAATATCTTACAAGAGTTTACAAGATTGTTTTATATTTCATAGGAAGGCAGGAGGACGTGGAAAAAGGAACACCGTGTTGTCATCAAAAGATTTTCTTGGCAGCGTCAGACAGACAATAGGTGTATCAGCTTTCAATGATCTGCTCGCCATGCAAGGTCAAGTCACACTGATGTTTGCTATTGATGATACGGGCAGTATGGCACAAGAGATTGCAGCTGCGAAGAAAATTGCAACATCTATCGTGGATGAGCAACGAGCTGAACCTGTCGATTATATCTTATCACCATTTAACGACCCAGGTAATCAATTATTGTTAGCCAATTGCTTAAAAACAGTGCTTTGTTCGAAGTGTAATTTTTGTAAAAAAGGCAACCTGCTCCCCTCCCTCCCTCCCTTGCTGCCCCCCCTCCCTCCCTTGCTGCTCC